CTCGTAATGCCCACAGAGCCCTGATTGGCGCCCCGCTCCCTAGAGCCGTCCACTGTAAACGCTGCGATCTGTCTCCAGGAAAAAGCGGGAAACGGCTGGGCTGGGCACAACAAGATCAAGAGTCGACGCCTCTTTTGCATTGCATGTCTCCTCTTCTCTCCTGCAACTCGCTCGCTGCCCCAGGACCATCCATTCGCTTTTGTTTCCCTCGTGGCCGCCGACTCAAATCGCCCGCTGTCCGTTTGGCCATTCCGGTGGTTAATCGGCGACTGTTCGCTACGGGGTTTTCTTTTTCTTTTCTTTTTCTCGTTTAACGACCAGGGCAGGAAATCTCTCTCGCTCCGCAGATCTGCCCATTTCGTCATCGACCCGTGCATCACGAAAACTGCACTCTTCAGCCTTCAGCATATCATTCTCGTGGTCGCAATAAATCTCCAACTCGTCGAAAGCGCTGCTTCCAGGGCGCTCAAGTGTGGTCGCGCTCAAGCTCATATTTGCCGACGGACAGCAGGAAAACACGCTCACCGGCATTCTTACGGCTGACCTCGTATTCCGCTCCATTCAGTTTTCCCCTCGTCATCAACTTTGCAGGACGACCCCGAATAGCCCTTGATTCACCAGCGACTCGCGAAATCATCGTCGCCTGCATTTCGGGCAGATAGAAGGAACGAAAAAAAGGCGTCACTAACCACTATCAACTATGCGGTCGTTCTTTAGGGCACCGCTGGCCTTGCTGGCCATGACGGCTTCACTGCTGTCGCCGGCCGACGCGGAAAAGATGCTCTTGTCCAACTCGCTCAACCTCTGCCAGCAAGATTCAACCCTGCAGGCCAGTCTGTTCAATGTCGTCTACACGCCCGCCAACAACTCGGCTAGTATCAACATGGTGGCCACCTCTTCGGTCCAGGGCAAGGTGTCATTCGACATTGAAGCGTCTGCGTACGGCTACACCTTTCTCAGGCAGACTGTTGACCCTTGCGACATTGGTCTCCGAGGTCTCTGCCCCATGGTGTCTGGCAAAATCGCCTTTGGCTTTAATTTGCCCGTCAGCGCATCCGCCTCTTCTCGCATTCCCGGCATCGCCTACCAGATTCCCGACTTGGATGCCACCGTCAAGGTTCGCGTCAACCTGACAGGCACTGGCGAGAGTGTTGCGTGTGTCGAGGCCGACATTTCCAATGGAAAAACCGTCAACCTCGTTGGTGTTAAGTGGGCCACTGCTGTTATCGCCGGCCTGGCCCTCGTCTCATCTGCCATCATCAACGGTCTGGGCCATTCCAACACAGCCGCCCACGTTGCTGCCAATTCTCTCTCGCTATTCGGATACTTCCAGTCCCAGGCCATCATCGGTCTCACTGGCATCCGTCTCCCGCCCATCGTGCAAGCCTGGACCCAAGATTTCCAATGGTCCATGGGCATCATCCGTGTGGGCTTTATGCAGACCATCTTTACCTGGTACCAGCGCGCTACTGGCGGTACGCCTTCCACCATCTTCGATTCCCTCACTACCGTCTCTGTTCAGCTGGAGAAGCGAAGCCTTCAGGTCGCACAGGCCGGTCTCAGCGTCCTCAAGCGCGGCGCGGCCATTATGCCCAAGCCTGCCGTCCAGCTTCTGAAGCGCGGCAACGTCATGACTGGTTCCGGAAGCTACGTCGTCTTTGGCATCCAGCGTGTCGCTTTCAAGGCCGGCATCGAGAGCACCAACCTGTTCATGACTGGTCTAGTCTTCTTCTGGATCTTCGCCCTCATCGTCGCTGGTGCTATAGCTATTTTCAAGGGCTTCCTCGAGATTCTCGCCGGGCGAGGCATCATGAAGAACGACCGATTCATTGAGTTCCGAAACGGATGGATCACTGTCCTCAAGGGTATCCTCTTCCGAGTCTGTCTAATCGGCTTCCCTCAGATGACTATCCTTTGTCTGTGGGAGTTCACTCAGCGTGACTCGGCCGCCGAAGTTATCCTTGCCGTGTTCTTCTTCTTCGGCCCGCTCTTCACCCTCGCCTGGGGCGCTAGCAAGGTCATCCGCATTGCCCGCCGCTCAATCTCCATGCATCGCAATCCCGCGTACATTTTGTTCTCGGACCCGCAGGCTCTCAACAAGTGGGGATTCCTTTACGTCCAGTTCCGTGCCTCGGCCTATTACTTCATTCTCCCGGTCCTCTTCTACACGCTCATCAAGTCCATGTTCATTGCACTGGCTCAGCGCAGCGGTGTCACCCAAGCCATCGCTCTCATCATCATCGAGGTCGGCTTCCTTATCGCAGCCTCCGTCCTTCGTCCCTGGATGGATAAGAGCACCAATTCCTTCAACATTGCCATCGGTGTAATTAATTTCCTGAACGCCATCTTCCTCTTCATCTTCACTAATGTGTTGGATACCCCCTTGCTGGTCATCGGCGTCGTCGGCGTTGTCCTCTTCATTCTAAACGCCGCCTTCTCCTTGATCCTGCTCATCATGGTCATTGTCTCCACCACATTCTCTCTGGTCCGCAAGAACCCGGATGCCCGATACCAATTCATGTCTGACGACCGCGCTTCCTTCATGAAGTCGCAGTCGCAGCTCAACGCAACTACCGAACTTGACGCTCTGGCTGCCACAGCTCGAGGTGACAAGGTTGGCTACAAGTCTGGCTTCGATTTGGAGGACAACGAGTCCATGTCCTCTGGCGACGTTCGAAAGCACAACGAGGCTTCTGGCTCTTACAGCGTCTCTGCCACAAACTCGCAAAACTCGTTCTATCCCAATGGTCAAGGCCAGGCCGTTGCCATTCCCCTTTACCCTGCTCAGCGCGGCCCGAGCCCTCTCCGAGAGAGTTCGCCGAATCCGATCGCCTCTGCCGTCTCTCTGTCACAGCAGAGGACGGCAAACACGGCCAGTCCAGCAAGCGGACATCGGTCACAACACAACGCTAGGTAAGCAACATTGCAATTTTCACACATAAACCTCACCGAACTTGGCTAACGAATCATTTTTCTCTCTAGCCCTTGGCAACGTGGTGCAGGTTATGACCACTAGATGTGCTCTTCGACGTAGCATAGGGTTATGTGTAGCACCCGCAGGTTCTTGATTCAGTGAAAACTCCATGACACGAGTAGGAGACAACTGATGTCACCAAGAACCCAGGAGACATGATGGCGTTGTAGGGATGTGTTTGGCGTTGAGGTACAATGACTTGCTTTTTTTCATCTTACGTTCGATCCGCTTTGGTCCTGCTCCTTTGTATATACGCCGATCATTTATAAGGGGCTAGGACGCAGAGGTTAGGGTTATCATTTCATCATTTACGTGAAACACACAGAGTAGGCCACGCTGGCCTAATGGGCATTTGGGAAGACTCATTCCTCGTGCTGTAGGATAATGTTACAACAATAAACGTCCAATTCGATATGCGCAATTATTTTGCCGATTAGTACGTGATGTATTGGGAGTGCTATTTGATTCTATTATATCTAGCTAGTCCCCTTGGCTTGGTTATTCTCTCTCCATCTTCATCACAATTCAGAGTCTAGTCACACAGATTGGTTGCTTACATTTGAGCCTAGTGTCTTTAGTTGTCTCATTTCCTTCGTCCGTTCATTCGTTCGTGATCTTTCGTTTGATCCCTTACAAGAAGCAGAGCGAAAAAAGTTGGTATTCAGGCCTCCGTTACAGCTACATACCAACTGTGCGTTTCTACTTTTGCGCGGTGATTGCATCCCCATGATGGATTCGGCTCAGGGGCTTTAAGCAGAGGAACTCTCTCTAGCCCACCTAATTCTTGGTTGGGGTTTCAACTTGAATGTTGCTCCAACGCCGGGGACACCCCAGTTAATTCACGGTTGGGTTACATTTTCAGCATCTTGGTGGTGCTCCAACCAGACATCTCAACCGGACATCTCTGTCAGATGCTTCAATCTGATAATTCAACCCGGGGACACCCCTTTCTAATTCACCGCTAGGTACTGTACGCTACAGAGATACTGACAAACAGTCATAGCGACGGTACCGCGCACCTGCTTTGTAAACCCATTCCACTTGTCACTATTTCCTTTAAATAACGTATACTAATCGGCAAAACAATTGTGTATATTGAACTAGACGTTTACGTATAATATTCTTCTACAGCACAAGGAACGAGTCCTCCGAATCATGTCGTCCAAATACAAGGGAAAACTAGCCCGTATCCCGCATCTCAAATTAATGCCACATAGGTAATAAGTGATACTCTAAAAACTAAAGGAATATAGCCATAGCAGCAGACAACAGAATAAAGTATCGATAGTAGCAGAAAGTACCTAGGTAGGTAGTAGTAGTAGGCAGGAGCAAATATCTCAAGAGGTAGGCATCTACTACCTATTAACTAGGAGATAATTAAGACAAAGAAACAGGGGAACTTCCGTTTGCGTCCTATTCCGATACATGAATCTCACGCAATCAATCGGGTGTTGGTCAGAGTCAAGTAAAAAGAGGGGAGACACATCAAACAAAGAAAAAAAAAAATGTCGCTTTTTTCCGGCCTTGTTTATTTCAGCTATCGCTAATAACAAAGGATTTTCAAACACAAAAAGAGAAAAAAATAAAGAGGGTGTGGAGACAAGAAAAACAAAGGAAAGGTATAATTTTGTTGTGAGCAACAGAGAGGCCCCCAGGAAAAGAATGTGTTGTCTACACTTTATAGGCAGCACTTCAATTAAAAAAATATTAAGAGGAGTAATAAAATGAAATAGAATGAAATGAAGTGAGAAAAAGGAAATGATGGTGAAGAAAAGAGTGTTTGGGAGAGGAGTGGTATCGTGTGTTGTGTATGAAATGGATGCTTGCGGTGGCTTGACATCTCATCCCAAGAGATCCCCTTCTTTTAGAACCAGAGATGGGTAGAACAGCCCATAGTACCTGTAACACAAAACGTTCGAAATCAAACAAAAGAATAAAAGAATAAAGATAAAGCAAACAGATGAAGAAACCAGGAAAGCAAAGCGAGAAAGAAAAAGAAAAGAGATGAGGGAATATGGTACATGTATTAAAACACAAAGCCCTCTTGTATCAACTTATCCACGTCTCCTCCCGCCGCGGCCACGGCCTTCATCGCCGCCTCGCTCAGCCTCCGTCTCTTCTCCTGGGCCTCCTTCTCCCTCCGGGCTTTCGTCTTGGAGCTCCCGCTCGGCGCCACGCCCGTCATCAGGATGCTGCCGTCGTTGGGCGTGAAGTTGACAAAGCCGATGCCGTCGCCCCCGAGGCTGATGCCGCCGCCTCCCGCGCCGGCGTCTCGCGACCTGCGCTTGCGGACGCCCCCCGGCGTGTTTGGCGCAGACCCGGGGCCTCGGCCGGAGGCGCTGCGGACGGAGGAGATGGACCCTGTAGAGCTGTGCCGGGACTGGTTGCGCATCTGGGCATGCGCCGGCGTGGGCGAGGCCGAGGGCCCCCGGGTCTTGCGCATGGGCGACGAAGACAGGTTGCGATGCCGGGCTCCAGAGGACGGGGCCCGTGGAGGCCGGCTGCAGCGGTCGGTTGGGATGGGCGGCGGTGGCGGCAGATATGTCTGCGAGGTGAGCGCAATGTCGTTGACGACAGCAGGCTGCGGGCCTCGAGGCTGGGGCATGTGTATCATGAGACCAGCGCCCCCCGTGTCTGGTATAGGGGCGTATTCGTACGGCAGCTCCCCGTGCTGCGAGTGCATCGCCTGGTTCATGCTGGCGTTGATGTTGAGATCCCACCAGGCAGAATCTTGACTCGCTGCGTAGTCAGTGCTGCCCCATGGCTCCGGTCCCGAGGTGGCCATCATTTGCTGCTGCCAGCCATGTTGCGAGGCTTGAGAAGCGGTATCGATGGTGGCAGTGGAGCCTATCATGCTTGAAGCTGCCTGATACAGATGCTGCTCGCTCTTGATGCGGCGGTTGGAGGAGTGCATGGGTGTAGGATCCATGCCGCCATGGTTGTAGTATTGCATGCTCGGAGACTGATATGACCTCGGCGCTTCAGCAAAAGGATCATCGCAGAAGCCGTGTATGAAACCCGAGGCGCCATGGTCATAGGACGTGGGCGAGGGGCTCTCATGAGAGACGCTGCTCACGCTGCTCTGCGCTATGCTATGCATACGTGCGGCTCTCGACTTGATGGCCATGGGAGGATGATCTAATGTAGGAGAGGCTGATCTCTCTATTATTGGAGGCTGTTGCTGTTGCTGTTGCTGTTGCTGTTGTTGTTGTTGTTGCGGCTGCTGCTTTCTGTTCCTTCTCCCAAGGTTGGTTGCCTTGCGGATGGTAGAGGACAGGGCCTCAACCAGCTTCTTTGGTCTCCTAATGGATGTGTTGGGCGGCGTGGGAGACGGCGGGTGCGAGACAGAAGTGTTCTTTTGTGGGGAGTAGAGGGAGATGTTTTCAAGGCGTTGCAGCTCAGTCTCTGACATGGACTTGCGACTGAGATGGTTGATCGGACGAGTTCCGCCGGTAGCCGGATCGGCAGCTACTCCGAAAGCAAGCTCCTGGGAGTCCAGGCCATGGCTCGCCGCAGACGTAGTCGGCCCAAGGTGAGAGGTGGTGGAAAAGAAGTCGAATTCGTCTGCCGAGGACACGACTGAAGAGGCAGTGCCTGTTGCCGCCTGATTCATGAAGAACGAATCCGGTGGTACGGTCCCTATCGTCGAGCTCCCGCCACGGCCATCGTCGACGGGAGTCCTGGCAACACTATCTCCGTCAAAGTCTACAAACTGCCCGAATAAATCGCTCGATGCATCAGACGGCAGCCCGTCTGTCCCCTGCCAATACATGCTGGCTTCCCTATCGACGGTGGGCTCGACCCGGAACTGCGCCGTCCAAAAAGCCATTGAATGGTGATCGTGGTGGCAACAGTCTCGGATTCGGGAGTGGCGGGATGATTTTGATTATCTGTTGACGGATGCGGCTAGTATCCAGATTCGTTCATCACAATGATGGGAGGCTTGGATAGATAGGCGGAGTGAAACCAAACGTTGTATGGGGCCGTTGGTGTTTGGCCGGATTCGATCACACAAGATGGGAAAAAAGCTTAACTGCAAGAGTGAGTGGGTGAGTAAGAGAAGTGAATCAGTGGAGTTGCGTCTCGAAGGTAGAGAAGCAAACTTTGGAAAAGAGAGGATTGGTCAGAGAGAAGAGAGGAAAAGAGAGAGAGATGTTTGGAGCCAAGGAGGTGGTGTCGGTGCATTCGCATTCTCAAGCACGGAGCGCAATCAGATGCATTAACTAAACAGCCCATCTATATTAAACAGCGAATGCTGCAAACCACACCAGACCAAGCAACTCTCCGGAAAGATACCACAGCAACCATAGCTCTTCGTTCCTCGCCGAGTTTTCCCCATACGGAAGAGGAATGCACGGGGCCGTGGCGACGCATTCCATTGCCTTGCCCCAGCTCTGTTGCCACAATTAAGACGAGCCCAGCCTCATCATGTGCCATCCCGCTAGTACGAGTACTCGTAGCTGATGGTCCACAGCGAGATCGATGCTAAGCTGGGAATCCTATGGAGCAAGAAAGCAATAAGACAAAGAAGAGAGACATATGTCGCCGCGATCTGGCGGTCGAAACCACCATGCATGATGTGTGGGGTGTACCTTGCATGAGAGTGCCTGAACATATGACCACATGGTAATAGCAACGGGCTCGCTCGGATCGGCCAGTGCACCAGACCTCGAACATGCATATTGAGAAATGAAAATCGTACACAAGATGAAACGAAGCACCGCTTGATAAGACGATGGCACTGGCCACCCTGCATATCGGCCGCTGTGAGGCAAAGCATCCAAGTTTCCTGCCCGCGCCTCTGTGCCGACTTGGCTCTGCAGTCTGGCGCACTTGCAGCCAGCTCTGCCAATGGTCTTTGCAAGAGCCAATCTTGTTCTTTTCAGCTCGTCTTCTCACACAGCTGTAAGCTCTAGCTCCGGCAAATAGAGCCGTCAAGAGCCATGCCCGCGACTCTGGTGCGTAATGTTTCAGCAACGAATGTCATTGCCAAGTCAACAGCCGCCCTACAGGGAGAAACCCATCCTGCAACCATGAGGCTGAGCGGGGCCAGGCACCTGCTTCCGAGTTTGCGCACAAAGGGCGATGGACCCTTAGACAGGCAGGGGGAATGTCTCTCAAGACAAGAGAAATCATTATTCTTTCGTTCCACGACGTCGATCCCTCGTCCAGGGCTGTATTGTACGAGCACGAGTAGTCATTCAGAACCCACCTTGCCACCTTTCAAAGCCCTCGGAAGCTTGCCGGTCCATCTGACACCCTCTGGTATTGGTAGCCCGCCGCGCAAGGATCACTCGATCCTCGCAAAGTAGGGCGGGCAGACAGACCATGAAAGAGATGGGAAGGAAAAGGGAAAAGAAGAGGAAGAAGAAACCCGCGGCGAAGAAACGTCATCGGCACGTGGTAGAGGAGAAAAGCAGGTAGTTTCTCAAGAGAAAGACACAGCCATCTCACGTCTATGCTCTAGAGTTACACGATCCGTGAAGGGGCCTCCATCTCGAATCCAACGGCCGTTGTTGTCCTACCCCATTGAGCGCCCGCCAAAGGGCCAAGTAACAAGGACCCCAGCTGCGGCCACAGGGCGTTGGACCGTTTTCCTTAGTGCTTGCACATTGTAGATGCCCGCTGATTGGGCAAAAGTGACCGGGTGGGTTGTGCAACAGGAAGCAAACTGCGCTTGTCATAACAGAATGGAGGTGAAGAAAGACGACTGAAGTTGGACGTTGATGTATCGTAATCCGAAATGAAGTTGGAGCCCTCTCCATGTTAGCTTCGGCTAGGAGTTGTGGCAAATCAACGGCACAGCGTAGGCGCTCACCGCCTGCACTTAACAGCGGAAGAACAGGGTGCTAACGGTGCCGCTGAGGCTGTCAGAACTTAGAGGCGCCCAGCGGTGTCGACGGCGCCCAATCAGCAGCTGTACCAGAACCAGAAGCGCCAACACTATGGAGTGCTAGGAGGATGGAGCAGGTACCTGTCCCGAGCCCAAGCTGGCGGTATCGCATCAGCCGGTCAGATGGACGGAGACACTTGCGATCCAACCGCGTCGGAGCGGCCGATTCAGGCGCCGGGGGAGCATGATTCTGGCCTGGCTGCACCTGGGTGGAAACGCAGAGGGCAAATAGACGCTGACACCACGTGGACTGAGGAATAACCTGTCCATGTACGAGGACGGAGACGGAGACGGAGCACGCACATGTCATGTATACTGTATGAGGACGGAGGCGGACAGAAGAGAGCGGGGGAAGAGAGAGGCAGAGAGAGAAAAGCAGAGAAATGTAGGAAAAGAGAGGCGGCAATCATGTAGGTAGGTGGGTGACATTCTAAAGCAGCAGAATCACATGTGAACAAGTAATACGAGCCGTTGATACCATGTGAACACATGTGCTTTGTACGAAGATGTATTTCGCGGCAGCAGCCAATACCTATTATATACATTCAACTACCTCCGTATTCGAGATTGAGCGCTGTAACCCAAACGCAAGCATCAATCCTGTCCCGCGTGGGGGATTCAAGCCACGCGCTGGCCAGTCAGGCCACGTCCCATCCAACAGATTGTTCCCAGTCCCAAAAAGCATCCCAGCCTGCATATCCGGAAAAACGCCGTGCCCAGTCCCTTTACCAAGATGCACCTAGATGGATCCTCCCATGTTACGCCATCTTCCTCCCCGCCTGCACGAGACGAGTCAGTCCCGAGTATTTGTTCGGCACCCTGGTCGTCTGTCGCTCGTGAGTCCCCCCCCCCTCTTGTTGCTGGAGGTGGAAAGAGGGCGCCAATGCTCTGTATGCTTGGAAGAAGAATCAGACAAGAAAATGAAGAAAATAAACCAAACGAGATAAAACGCCGTTGTATATAGCACGTGTCGAACGTTGACATCTTTTTTTTTGTAACCCGCTAAAATGTAGAATAAAAACAACAGTTTGAGAAGCGAAGAGCTGGCTTGTGCCAGAATTCCGTGTAGTAAATGCAATTTGTGATGCCCAAAAACGCCGCATAATGTCGTGTCTAAGTCGTTGTCTGTGATAGAGGCAAGAGTATAAGGTGGAGAAATAACAGATGAGCTTCAACGGCTGTGCCGCTGCTTGTGTGAGCGGGTGCCTTGCGTCGTTATCAAGATGCATCCGCTGCGGGAGCCCGCGATTGACTCAGCTCACGGGTCGTGTCCCTCGACATCCGCAGTCTGTGCTCCTTCTTCTTGTGCGTCCGCTTCCGCATGCGAGGGACATTTCGTACAAGCTTGGGACAGCGCATGGCCGCCTCAGCAGACGTTGTGAAGCTGAGAACGCCTTGGTTCCTCAGGGCTCCAGTAAGCCCACTCGATGGCTTCTCGCCCAACCAGGGAAATTCCTCAGGCCCTTCATCGTAGCCCTCATCGGCCTCTATGTCGTCTTCTGCCAACTCAGTAGGGTCGATTTCAATGGCCTGGACGGAAGATGAACCTGTGGACGAAGGAGGGGAAATGGAATCGGCTTGGGTGTTGGCCTGCATCCTGGCAAGGACCCTAGCGGCAACGTCCGGGTCAATTTTTGTCTCGGGTGCAACGGGGGCAATATAAGGCAGAGCTGAGTATCGTCTTGATGGACGGATTTTCTGAGTACAGGGCAGTGCGGGCAGTGAAGAGTCGTCGCCCAGGGTTTCGTCATGGTCAACATCCATGGCATTATCAACCAGAAGCGGCTGTGATTGTGGAACGAGGGGTGGCTGTTGGGTACGGGATTGGTTTTGCTGTAAGAGGGTCTGTCGGCTCATGCGGCGAGAAAGAAGCTCCATGAGAAGGCTGTTTTGGCTTTTTTGACGCTCCCAGACCCTAGGTCTAGGCATCGAGGGAAGATCCGAAGCCGGATCGGTAGCAACAATGGGCAAAGCTCCGGACATGGCTGGCGTCTGGGGTAAGATCACCTCGTTGGTGTTAGAGGCGCCGCTTGGTGAGGTACGCTCAGGCTCCATAGTGGTGTCGTCGTCGTCGTCGTCCCGTCGTCTTGGTGAGGGGTTACCTCGTAACAAAGCATTCGCAGGTGAGACTTGTTTAGTCCAGAATACTGGTTCGCAATAGCTGTCGATGGCTGTTGGGTGAATTATCCCTCTGTCCCCGCCGGTTAGGATGTCGTCAGGGTAAAGATGTGGTGGTAGTGTTGGTGGTGCTGAGGGCGATTTGCCTCCCTTTGTCGCAATAGAGTCTTGGTAAGGTATTACTAGCGGTGATGTGGAGGAGGCGGCAGTGAGTATACAAGACTTGAAGACTGACTACAATGTACGAGTATGTATGGGATCAAATGGGAGGGTTTTGGTGGAAGTAGGAAACGGCCAGAGATTGGGGGCGGCTAAGCTTGATGTATGTTGCGGGCTGGCCTGGAGGGAACATTGACATTTGATCAAATTGAAAGTGCGAGCCCCGAGCTAATAGTGGCCCGGCGAAAAGCTAAAAACTCCAGGTCTTTGTCTGCTCGGTACCAGCTCAGGGTACAGTCAGCAGCAAAGACAGCAGGGCCCAGCGCTGTATTCTGTAGCGACAGGACCGCTGCCCAGTCATCAATACTGTAGGGGCGTTGAGCACCCACTTGCCGAGACACGGTGCGCCATGGATGCAATTCATCACAGCGCTGGTCTTGGTAGCGACAAGGCCAGGGATGGCTGAAGCCCTGGGATGCGTGGCGGGACCAGTTCAATGGCTCCCGACCCCCCGGCCAGACCAGAGAGGGAGGGGGGAGCATGGGAGATGGTCCCGAAAGATGGGTGCAGTCAGTCCATGTCCAGACTGTGGGAATGGGTCCATTGAGGGATCATGACATGAACCGAGGCGGCCGTCCGTAGCGCTGGGAAAAGCCCACATCAACTGATTCAACTGGATTGCGGCCACGGCTAGACCACAAGCCGCCTAGCCTGCGCTCCTGGGCGTCGGCCTGAGATGGTGCCAGCGATCCGCTAATAAGGCAGTTCCGGATGGACGAGTTGAGTAACGCCGCCCGCGATAGCGTCGGGTTGTCTGTTTTAACTCTTCAGCCGGTCGATGATGGAACGGGCTGCGCTGGAGACGAAGGAGTGGACCTGGGCTTCTAGCCACTGGGCCTAACATTGATGGAGAGATCATTACCGTCCCAAGGGAAACGAGCCCCGCACGCCGCCCCAAAACCAAGACATTGAACATTTGGCGAGCGATTGAAGGGAGAAGCTTGACGGCAGTGGACTGGAACTTTTGGAGACAAAACGTTGAAGAGAAAGCCAGCCAGCCACTTTGGAACATTGTTCAAACTCGTACAGTATAGTACGGTACGGCACTGTATAACTCTGTAAGCTGCATGTCCAAAAGACAACATGGAATTGAACATCAATAATCCGTAGAGTTGCAACCAGAACGCTGGAGTTATCGAACCCTTAATTCCTGCAGAGAGCGACAAGGACATGGAATCCGGCCGCGGACGCTTCATGCACATCCGGGCAAGGCCTCGGACCCGCCAACGGTGTGCCAGGCCCCCTAAAGACGCCGAGCATGAGGTCTCCATGGTGCACGTTCAAGCAAGCAAGTACATGTACGGGTCCGGGTTCCAAATGCCTGCGAGCGCTGTATGGAGCAGGCTGTACTGTACTCGTACTGTACATGGACATGGACATTGCTGCTGCTTTGCGCCTCCATGCATCACCGAAAAATTTCAATACAGCCTCCCATCCCCTTGCCCAGTCTGTAGCCTGCGTGGGAGCTAGGAATACCCCCATGTGCTGTGCTGTGCTGTGCTGTGCTCGTTTACAGTTGTACGAGTAGTGCGTGCTAATACATGGAGCCTCATGCACGTCAATCCATGTGTACAGGTGCTAGTGATGTCCGGTGCAATCTCTGCACTAAAAACGGCATCTCACCTTGACAACCTCTAGTCCAGCTATGTAAAGAAACGGACCCGACACGCACAAACACCGACTCAGACTCAGCCCATCTTCAGCAGCGCTTCAATCATGTCCGCACTCGTACTACCGTCGTACTTACTACTGTACGGGTACTGCCACAGACAGTTGATGTCCATACGATTGCTTTCCATACTTAGCGCATCCAGGTTGGTTCGGTCGCACTTCCATTTCTCCTTCATCGCCTCTCCGCCAAGTGGGTGCCTCTCCCGTCACCCTGTCTGCCTACGTTTCCTCTCATCTTCTCTACCTACTGTACACATGGCGACCCTGTCAAGACGAACTGCATAATCACATCAATATCTTCATCTCTACTGTGCCCCTAATGCACTGGACGGACCCCCATGGTACTGTACTGACACCGACGGCCTCTCTAGTGCTCTAGTGCTTCACTGCTCGCATTTGCCACTCATCCCGACGGCTCGGATCCCTTAAAGCTTCTGCACCAACTGTCAATTCCAACAAGCTGCCAAGATGTCGAATCTATCCGCTAGCCCGTCCGCCCATGCTCCATATCTTTCCTTTTTCTCTCCCCAGAGCCCACGCTACAGCTAGGATCGGTCACAAAGATTGAAGCTTGCTGGGATAACCCGGTGTGCCAGGCTGCCGCGCCCTCTCTTCAATTCTTCACCTTGTGACGCTGGCTGGTAATAATACCAGGATTCTATCCCAGCAGACTGGCTCGGCGCCATTGCGAATCAGACCTTTGATTGGTCAGATTACGAGGTTGCCAGGATTTGGCTCGGCACCCGTTTCCCATCATGGCTTACTCTCAACGAGCGCCTTGAATCATAGGCTTGCTCGTAATTCGTACGTATGATACTCCGTGCCTGGGCCAGTATCAACAGGCGCTCGAGCCAGCTACTAACCCCAATAGCAGACACGTCCCTTCTCACCCTCGATTGCATCGATGATCAAACAAATGCTACAAATCGAGGGGGCAATGCCACGTTATTTTGCTTGTTGCCGAAGCGCGAGAAGCTCATCTCGCCCATGCCTAGACAGTACTAGAAGCCTGCGCTCAGATCGAGCTTGAGACGCAAGGCCCCTAGCAGCTAATGACGTTCAACGTAAAGAGCATGCAGTGCGGAGCATGGATGGCCACATGGACGGAAGCTTGCGCGGATTCGTTCCGCTGTCCATACTTAGGCTGCTTGCCGATTGGCACACTCACTGGGCGTCCAAAGACAACTGAAGCGTTTATAGCATGGATGTATTAGGAAGGGCCGCCTCCATGTGTCTACAGTAATCACGGACGACTGAGCATTGCTTCTTTTTCATCCGCTGCGAGTCATCTCAGACGGTTGAGCATTGTTTCTCTTTCATCAACTACGAGCACAACTCCTAGTCTTCCAGGATCTCCCCAAGGAGATCCCTCTGGGCTACTCGAGTTGTCCGAAATTAGGTGACACAATGTTCGCCTGTGGGAAATCCACGAGGGTAAGGCACAAACGCAGGGTTCAGATACGATTTACGAGGTAGGACTCTGCTGCATGACCGCAAGCGCATTGCATAACACGTGCTTTTAACCTGGCCCCATGGTTTTATCATCCTAGTGTTAGTTATCACGACCGCGTTTACTTTCCTGCCAAGCAGGCAATAACGTACTCCTTCATGTCGGATCCCTTTCCTGTGGACCGAGTGTTTGGGTTAAGGACACCGGCTTCTCCATGGGGGGCGCCCATGTGATTGTCATAGCAGAGTGCCTCCAAAGACCAGGACAAGCACTCATACGACCAAGGTTAACTCTGCAACGTCAATGCTGTCGATTCAACTGGCTACTATTTTTGCGCACTGTACAGGCGAAATAACACCTGCCTCGTGTCATCTGTTTCGCAAAGACCGGTGTCTAAGCACGATGAAGCAGCTCTGGGGGTTTCCGATGGTAATTTCGATCCGGAAAAGAAAAGAAAAGAGAGGAGAAAAGGATACGCTTCAACCCCCCCCC